GTCCAGCCCGGCCGGGAGGGCACGGGGCTCGGCAGGACGGCAAGGGCGACGCGCTCCTTCCTCAGCTCCACGAACATCACCCGTAAAATCACCCAAACTAACAGTGTCCCTCGGGGGACCAGCAGGGAGAAGAAAGCAATGATCAAATCAGATTAAGAAGAAGAATTATTTTTTTTAAGGTACCTGCAGTTCCCAGGAAAAACAAAGTCCAGATGAGATCCTTAGTTTGCAGCATTGTAATCTGCTGGCTGGGAAGGATGTTCTTGCCGCGGTAAAAGTCTGTGCACCCCCTCCTCGCAGCGAGTGTGGACGGCGTTGGAGCCACAGACCTAGGGGCAGACAATTGCCAGGCCGAGTATGATTATTTTTGCAGAATTGTTTCCTGCCAGCGGCTGCCGAGCTGCGTTCACGCGCTGAGCGGAGAATGAGTGACAGTCCCAGCCTCAGCACACTCGCAACTCGGAGATCCTTGCGCTGGCCCGGGTTTGCTTTGATGGAACTGGGGATGGGAGCGGGGGGCGGAGGGCGGGGTGAGAACCTCACTGTGTCCTTCCACCGCGCCGGCCACAAATAGTGCCGAACATCAAGGAGGTAAGAGAGACACGGGAGGCAGATGCGGCCGCCTGCAAAACGCGGCCTGGAGCCGCCCGGACGGAGCGGGCTCCTTCACGCGCAGTCCTCCGGCGGGGCCGCGATTGCTTTTTCCCCGCTCTTCTCGCCCCCGCCGCCGCGGTCCCTCCCGCCCGCCAGCCTTCCTCAATCAGGAGGCTGGATGTTTGAATAACAGCACGTAATACAAACAAAATCCTAGGTTTCGTTAGGTTTTTCGAAGTTGTGGAATCTCTCCATTAGAGATTCTGAGATCCTTGAAACACAAGGTAAGTCTAGGACTTTTTTTTTTTTTTTTTTGAAGTGCAGGAAATTAGAAATTAAGAGAGGGATGGGGATCGCTGTTGCGGGGGTTCGTTTTTTTGGTTTTGTTTGTTTGTTTATACTATGAAGTTTGCTCTCCCACAGAGAAGCAACAGAGCTCAGGGGAAAGAGGTGGGAAGCGACTCAAGAAGAAAACGCGGATGTTTAGAAGGTTATTTCCAGAAAGAAGCGAAGGAGAATGTTCGTGTATAAATGTGGAAATCTGTGGTCTCTTCATGAACATCACCAAGCTTTTTTTGTGTTGGTTTTATGGTAGGCACGATGTTAAATAATATTTTCTTGCCAGGGCACGCAACCTCAACTCTTAAAGATATTCATGTAAAATGAGGCACCAACAGGAAGGGCTCGGTTAATCTTACAGCTGCATTTCGGACAGAAGAGGGTAGGCAAGCAGGGGGGAAATAAACACGTTTCAGCACCTGAGCAAGGCTTAAGTGTTTCAGGAACAAAAGGTGAGGGAGAATCAGGGACTCAGGGTGTGGTACAGGCTGGACCAGCCCGCTAGCCTGGCACAGGGAAGCTGTGGGCGAGGGAGGCTGCCCATGTGCCAAGCACCAATGCACCAACGTCACCTCATTCTCCCTTTTTCTTTATAGGACCCGCTCCCCACTGCCGTGCCATTCTTCAAAACCCTGTCGTCTGCGGCCAGGCCAGCCAGAGGCCATGACCGGAGAGGCTGCTGGCATCTCCTCTCCGTGTGCTGGGTAGGCCAAGCAGGCCACACCGGCCAACGGTGACTCCCAGAACCCCTGAAACGTACTTCTTGCAAATCAATCTTCCACAGCATTTACTTTTGTAATATTTATTTCATACCAATCATAAATAATTCATAAATACAGAAAAAGTAGAAAGAAGGAACTAAAATACCAAATCCCACAGATTCCAGAGATACCCACAGGCTTTCCCAGTCTTCTGTACATACACACAGCTTTTATAATTGACAGCATAGCAGCAATTTAAATCCTGTTTATTTTCCCCAACATTTTAGTATAAGCATTTCCCCAGGCCAGGAAAAAGGGTTTTGAACTCATTTTATAGCTATGTAATATTTCTTCATATTGATGGTTATAGCTCCCCATTGTTGGAGATTGAGATTGTTCCTAGAGGTTGATGATATAATTAATGCTTTTTGCACATCTTTTAATAAATCATTATTGAATACTACTATGTTTAGCCCTGTGCTGGGTACACTGGATTGTGTGGATTTTTTAAATGGTTGCTGTATTTAAGCATCTTTGGCTTCAGTTAGGAGCTTCTGCTAACATGTGAAATTACCATATTAAGCCTTATAAACTTACATGAATAAGAATTAAGCTCTTTCCTAAATAAGAGGTTTTGAGAGAAGGGAAAATACAGAGAACAGGCTTGAGGGGAAAGGAAAAAAGTGAAGGTTGGGACACCCAAAATACTTATAACTTTTTTTTCTGTCTTATTTCTAACTTTTACCGAGAGTGAGAAACACACCTTTCTTGGCAAACCTCCATTCTTATAGCCCCTGTCAGTAAAATTAAAAAATTTCTCACTATTTTTCTCCCCAAATGTCCCTATTTTTAGCTTTGCAATGTAGGCAGGTGTGGAAATCCTATCTCACTTCAACATGACTGAGTTTCCTCTCCACCCCCCACCCCCGATAAACTAATTCTGAGATGTTCGAGGGACATCCAAGTGGAGATGTGTGGAAGACACACAGGCAGGGAGAGGGGACCCCAGAGAACATCAGTGTTTAACCTCTAGGCAGAAGAAACAGCCAAAGCAATAGTGAAAATGTGGTCAGAGGGACAGAAACAGAACTGAAACATATAATGACCGAGTCTAAGGGTAAGAAAGTTTCCAAGTGGTCAAAGAAGGACTTGACTTTCGGAAAGCCGTTGGTGCTTCTGAGAGAGCAGCCTCCCGTGGACAGGTGGGGATGGAAGACTTCACTGTCCCAGGACAAAAGGGGGAGCTCAGCCAGGAAGGAGGAAGGGGTTCCACCACCCTTTTGAGGAACAGTGTGATAATGGCAATGTCATGTTTAATGACAAGGACAGGAGGGCAAGCTTGAGGGAGAAGGAGGCCTGAAAGGGTTTTGTTCTCTCCTCTTTTAATATGAGGATTTTATTGTTAGGCTATAAAGTAAATTAAATCGGTAGCTAACTCCCCACCCACTGCCACCGCATTATGGTCTACTTTAGACTACTTGAAAAACAAACTTAGACTAAAGAGCCCTGGTCAATATTTTTCCACATTTAGGGTTTCTTTCCTGGTGGTATTGACAGGGAGACCTAGGCCTGATCCCAGAGCTCACAGATACTCAGGAATTTTGACACAGCAAAATGCATTCTGGAAAACACAGCAGCTTAAGATCAAGCAAGGGACAGTGACCTGGGGTTAGGAGAGACAGAGGACACAGAGAGGTGCCCAAAGAGCTGGGCCTGAACTAGGAGGGTGTCAGGACCAGAAGGTAATATCAAGGCCACGGAGCTAAAGAGTGAAAGTGTCTAGGGAGCCCTCAGAGAGCCCTCCAAACCCTCATATCCCAGATCTGGTCAACCCCAGAAATGACTGCTAAGTTCTTCTGCATGGTGGGGCCGAGGAAACTGACGTTTCCCTTCCCTTCCGTTCCAGGCTGGCTCAGGTGCTGGTTAAGGACAAGGGGACACATCAGCTCATCAGCGGGTCGTGCTGAATGATGCTGGGGATCCCCAAAGCAGGGGAGTGAGACAGGGCTCAACATAGAACCACTGCTTCTTTGTGCGGGTTGTGTGCTGCACAACTGGAAGGTGCCTTTCAAATCCCACTCACCAAGTGTTTATATAGTTCTCATGACAATTTTTCTAGTAGGCAAAAGTAAAGAACCAAGAATGGGGTACTGTTTGCTTACCCTCCCTCCCTCCCTCCCTCCTTCTTTCTTT